CCAGGTCTGTCCACATGCTTTCATCTCCTCCTCGCATGACCTCCTCCAAGTCACCCTTGGACGACCAACTCGCCGCCTCCCTTTCGGGTTCCACTCGAGGGCTTGTCTAGTGATGTCACTTGATGGTTTCCTCAGCGTATGGCCAATCCATCTCCATTTCTTTCTGCCTATTTGTTTCACAATCGGTTCCTGATTGGTTCGCTCCCAGAGATCCCTGTTGCTGATCTTTTCTGGCCATCTGATCTTGAGTATTGAGCGGAGACAGTTGTTAATGAAGGTTTGAAGTTTGTTTGAGATGCTCTTTATGACTCGCCAAGTCTCTGATCCGTATAGTAGCACTGACTTCACATTGGAGTTGAAAATCCGGATCTTATTTTTGATGCTGATTGCTGTTGACCTCCACACAGATTTGAGAGTAATGAAAGCTTGTCTTGCTTTTCCGATTCTGGCTTTGATGTCCTCGTCAGTTCCGCCTGTAGTTGAGACGATGCTTCCCAGGTAGGTGAAGGAGGTTGTTTCTTTCAGGTTCTTCCCATTTATGCTTATTGTGGTCTGTTGGTGTTGTTGATGTTGGCTAGGAATCTTCATTATCTCTGTTTTATCTATGTTCACGTGAAGTCCTATCTTTGATGCTTCTTCTGCCAACTTGTTACTTTTCACTTGCATATCTTCCAGTTTATGGGAAATCAGACATATATCATCGGCGAAATCCAGATCCTCCAAGTCTTTTGTGTCAGTCCATTTTATGCCTGTTCCCTCGTTGGTTGCCGTTGTCTGTCGCATTATCCAATCAATTGCAATCAGGAAGATCATTGGTGATAGTAGACAGCCTTGCCTCACTCCCGTCCTCACTTCGAAGGCTTCCGTAAGTTTCCCGTTGTGGATTACTTGGCATGCAGCATTGTCGTATAACTGTTGGATGAGGTGTATAATTGTCGATGGGACCCCGTAGTAGCGAAGTAGTTTCCAAATGACCTCTCGATCGACGCTGTCGAAGGCCTTTTCAAAGTCGATGAAGTTGAGATAGAGAGGTGACTGCCATTCCAAGCTTTGTTCAATGATGATCCGTAGAGTGGCGATTTGATCAATACATGATTTGTTTCTCCTGAATCCAGCCTGTTCCGGACGAAGTTTTTCATCTAGGGCTTGTTTGATTCTCTCCAGGATGATGCGACTTAGTATCTTGCTTGGAATGGACAGAAGCATAATTCCACGCCAGTTTTTACATTGACTTAAGTCTCCTTTCTTTGGAAGTTTGAATAAGTAACTGTTCTTCCAATCCTCGGGTACTTTGCCCTCTTTCCACACCTTCTCCAGTAGTGGTGTCATCAAGTCCGCTGTTGTCTCTGGGTCTATTTTCAAAGCCTCTGCTGGGATTCCATCTGGTCCCGGTGTTTTCCCAGTTTTAAGCATCTTGATTGCATTCAGGACTTCTGATTTCGTCGGGGGGTCAGTGTTCACTGGTAGTTCTGCTTCCGTTGTTGGTATTGCTGGACGTGTTGTAGGTGGCGGACGATTTAGAAGTCTTTTGAAGTGTTCAACCCAGTGCTTTCTCTGTTCCACCTCTTTGGTGATTGACTTTCCATTGTCGTCCTTTATTGGCTTAATCTGTGTCGAACGTTTGCCCGAAAGGTTCCTAGTTGTTTGGTAGAGTGTGGCGAGGTCTCCTTTGCCTGCAGCTTGTTCTGCTTCGTTTGCCATGGTTTCATAATATTTTCTTTTGTCTTCCCTGGCACTTTTCTTCACTCTTTTGTTCAGTGTATTGTAGCTTGCATTCAGCTCCTGTTTTTGTTGCTCGTCCGTGCACTGGATAATCTTTTGCTTCACTGTCCTTCTCTCTTCTATTATTAGTTTCCAAGTGTCCGTAGTGAGCCACTGTTTGTCCTGTCTCTTTTTTCTGCCTAGAATTTCTATGCAGGTTTGGCTCCACACCGTTTTCAAGTTGTTCCAGTGCTTTTCAACGCCGACCTCTTCGCTAGTGTTGATTTGTGTCTCGGCTTTGTCCTTTATGCTTGCAATAAAGATGTCCTTTGTAGCCTGGTCCTTCAGCTTTTGAGTGTTGAACTTGGCTTGTGGTCTATCTGCAGCTCCTGATTCCCTGAAAGCTTTTAATTTGATTTGGATTGTCCCGTGTACGAGATAGTGGTCTGAGCCAACGTCTGCTCCTCTTCTTGCTTTTGTGTCCAGTAGGCTGCGCCTCCACTTCCTTGAGATTGAGATGAAGTCGATTTGGTTTTTGGTTTGCCCGTCTGGTGACACCCATGTAGCCTTGTGGATATCTTTGTGCTTGTATACACTGCCACCAATCACCAGTTCGTTGAAGGCGCAGAAGTCGGCGAAGAGTTCTCCGTTTTCATTCATTTCTCCTAGAGCTTCTCTACCCATGATGAGTTCCCTTCCCGTATTGTCTGGTCCCAGTTTGGCGTTCATGTCTCCCATTAGTATTTTCATGTCGCCAGCTGGAGTATTGTCCATTGTTGCCTGTAGTTGCCTGTAGAATTCTTCTTTCTTCTCGAGGTCTGCGTTGTTTGTGGGTGCATAACATTGTATGATTGACACTTTCCTTCCTTTGGAGTTGAACCTGGCGGTCATTATCCTGGACGAAATCGCCTCCCATTGTATCAGGGCTTTCGTTGCCGTTGGTGACATCATGATAGCCACGCCCTCGGTGTGCGTGTGGTTATCTTCTGGGTGACCGGAGTAGATCACTGACTCACCTGTTGACAATTTGGTGAGTCCACTCCCATTCCATCTGCTCTCACATATTCCCAGCACTTGTATTCCGTATCTTTTCATCTCGTTGGCGATCTGGGCAGCTTTCCAGTCTCGTACATAGTTCGGACGTTCCATGTTCCTACACAGACTTTTTCTTTTGGTGCAAGGAGGTTCACATACTGAAGTTTCTTTAGCAATTTTTGTTTACAGGGTGGGGTTGCTAGCCTCACGCCTGAGAAAAGAATGATTACATTAAGTAAAAGTTTAGAGAGAAGCAACTTTTTGGGTTGCTCCCCTCAAAATCAGAAAATAACGGACAAACAATGAGAACAACATCAACAAAGGAAACAGTTCACAGAAAAAAGGGCAAAAAGCGACGACAACTATACAATAAGACAACATGCAATATAGTTCAGTACATTTAACTAAAATGATAGCTTAACCATAAACTCACTGACTTGGAGCAACTTGAACATATAAATCCATCAATATATACAATTATAGATGTGTTTATGTTTAAAAATTCCACAAATCCAAACAGTGAGTTATGTGTATTATCTGTCAATAAGATTGTATTTTTTGGATTCAGTGTTCGAAAGGTTAATAATTGTGATAATTTCCGCAAACACTTTGCATAAAATTTTAGAGTAATAAGAGATTTTATTTATGACCAAAATGTAGCGTAATAGTCGAAAAAAACAATAAGATAATTAATATCAAATTACGAATAGACAAACTACTTAATGAGATGTGTATCTAATTCTTTTTTTACCTGTTGTTTTTCATCATACCTTTTGCAAACATTAACTCTCATCATATTATGAGTCAGTCTGGCTTTTCTCTTAGTCATTTGCAGTATTATTCTATTTAATTTCTTCGCCTTCCGAGTTGAACACAGGACTTCAAGCGTTAAGGTTTGGAGTTTCAGCAGCTTTTATGCTTTCTCGGGGTGAGGTTAATAGCGTCAAGCTCAACTTTCCCTCTCATATGGGGTTACAACCTGCTAGGTGAGGTTCAGGAGTACATCAGTCGGGAATCAGACCCCGGACCACGTGCGTGGCTGGCAGGCATTGTACCCCTGAACCACTGAAGCGAAAAATAAACCATATAAATGAAATTTTATGATGTATAGGTATTATTATTTGTTAGCAGGAATGCTGATTGCTTCATGTACTGGATAGTGAAACTGTTCCACTGATGCGATTCGGAATGTAGGTTTTCTAAAGATTGTTTATAGTGTCGTCTTTATTTTTTGTATTTTATAATTTCTGCATCAGTGGTTCAATGGTAGAGATGCTCGCTAACCACTAACGTGGTTTTGGTTGGATTACCGCCTGATGCACTCCTAAACCATGCTTAACTCTGTAGTGAATCCGGTAAAGAAGAAAGGTTGTATATGCCGCTGGCAACACCACCACTACTGAAACTTGAAGGACTGAAAAAAATAATTTCAAACCTCCGGTCTGATGTTTTGACGGAGAATTGTGACATTCTGCATTACTACACTGCCTACTAGTTTTCGCGTTGATTTTTTCCTGTACACATTTCAGTCACACAGAGAAGCGTTCCCATTCAAGAACACTTGTCACCTTATTGTTTTTCAACCGGATTTAGCATCCATATGATCTTCTTTTGATTACTGTGCGGCTGCTGCTTTGTCATCAATTAAATTACCCCGTAATATTTAGATTATGGAATTTGTGGAGGGGGGGAGTTGGATTAATTTAATTTCAGTTGTTAGATTTCACCACGAACCAATATCAATTAGAGAGACTATTGAAAACAAGGGGGGAGCACTAAATATCTGCTTCGTCCTACTACAGAACCCTCCGGCAGTGTGCACCCACAACCCCGCCAGGGATCGAACCCAGGACTTTCAGGTCACGAAGCTAAACCCATCAACCATTCAGTCACTTTCCAGTGCTCTCTGGTTTTCAATAATCTCCCTAAATGATGTCGGTTCGTTACTAAGTCTAACAATTGGAATTAAATTTACCCCATAATAGTTTTGTTATTAGCCCACCCTGCCCCCTCCTAATAAATGATTGTACACCAGTCTTGCGCCAAAGAATAGCACAGATTGCTTTAAGGTTACACATCATATGAGCATAAACATATTCATGATTATTATAGTTATATATCCTTTTCCACTGTTGCATTTTCTGAAATGTTTCAATTACTGACCATTATTGTTACTGTATTTTCTGATGCTTATTTATTTCTTGTTGTCTTTGCTTAAACCGAAGAATAAAAGTCATCTTTATTTTTTTTTTCCTCTCACATAGATGTATTGTATCATAAAGACAATAAATTTACAATTGTATCTATCGCCAGTGGATTTGCTTATCTTATTATTCTCTGCAGTATCACATGACCTTGACCATCCAGGTTTTACAAATTCCTATCAGGTAAATTAAAACAACTTTACATATTATGTATTTATTTATGTGTGTATACATGGGTACATGTTTTTGTGTATACTTTTTCCCAGAATACTGGATTTCTGAATATTATTAGCAGTAGTAGTAGTAATATTACCATTTAATATTTATATGCCATAATTTTGCTAATAAATAAATAAATCAAAGTTGTGATTGTAATAATTTATGATTGTGCACTGATTTATCAACTATCAGATTTCTATTCACAATCCTTACTTACCTACTACTTAAATAATCATTTCTCATAACCTCAGTTTGTTTTAATCAGATGACGGGATGTAGGGGAGGTCTGTACATGTGTGTGTGAGAGAGAATTACGCTTGGCGCCTGTTCGCATATCATCAAAATTCTGCAGTCTACAGCATTGCTAACGAAAAATGGCTTATTTTATGGACAACTTCTATTTTCCCTTGAAGTAAGGAACCATTAGTGGATTAAGGAATCATCGCGGTGGGCAAGAAATTATGGGGGAACAAGTATACTTTCTCATACTTTAAGCGACGGTTGGGATACTGTCCGGACGCCCAAACCGAAACAGATGGGTTGTCTTAAGTGGCCACCCCGCAAGCCTTTGACTAGAAGCCCGATCCATAATGGCAGTGGAGCAGCGACTGTATGGTTTCTGGTGTTCAAATCAGGTTTACACTTCATTATGTATGTTTAGAGTATGGAGCCCATGTACACATCATGAGTTTTGAACCAGAAATTTCCGGCTCCCTTAGGTAGACCAGTTCTGTGTTTGTAAGTGCCACATGTTTGCATTCACTCTTTCACTTTTGTGATGAACACCTCAGCCACCTGAAGGTAGTGACTAAGACTTACCCGACTGAGGCGTAGTCACATATGAGTATTTCGAGATGAAGACTGTACCAGAACGTTTATGGGTACTGTATGCAGGTATCTATGTACTTAACTATACAGCAAATCAATTGTTTATATGAGTAAATAGTCTGAAACTGTAGTGATTGACCTATCAGTTGAAAAATCTCTAGCAATATAGTAAATAAACCATTGATTCATGTTTCTATTCGTGTTGGGTATTTAAAATGACTTATCTATTCCAAGACAAAATTTGTATGAATTATATTCGTCTCTAGTTTATATATATCCTCACCAGCTGATAAGCAGTAATAGTAGCATATGGAGTTAGAATGAGTTTTTTTTCTCGAAACGTTCTACTTGTCTTTTTTTTTGCCCTGTTACTGTTCTCGGTTATCGTTTGCCTGCATGTAATATCCCCACCCATGTGTTGTTGTTAATCATTACTTTATCATCTCAGTCTCATGTTTATTAAGTAGTAATCTCAATAAGAGTAGTAGGGACAGGATAGTGGACTACTGATAAAGCATAGGAATAGGAATCCTTTTGATAATGACCTCTCTCTCTGTTTTCTTGATACTTGTGTGTGTATTTATACTAAATTTGCTTTGACTTCCCCATGTCTTCTCTCATCGGAATCGATTTTAAGATAAACTAATATATATATATATATATATATATATATATATATATATATATATATATATATATATATATATATATATATATATATATATATATATATATATATATATATATATATATAATATATTAACAGTTATTATAGATAAGAATCCGTACAATTCTTTATAAAATAGAATAGTAAATTAGACCAACTAGTTGTCCTTTGCTTCAACCTCATCGTCTATCTATTGTAAATATATATATATATATATATATATATATATATATATATATATATATATATATATATCAAAGAAACCCCTGTCTACACTCCTTGTGACTTGTACCGTGTAAATGCTCTGTCCTCTTTTATCACAGGTTAAGTGTAGATTAATTGTAATGCCCTAACTGTCAATCACTCATTAGATTTTAAACATTACGCAAAAATCCTTCCCATTCTAATAAATCTAAGCATAAAAGAGAAAGCAAGTACTCTGGGATAATAATAATGATAAGAATACTAAGAACTATTCTGTTCAATTGTTTACAACCTATAAACAATGCCAAAGTGTGTATATTAAGCATAGATACACACACCTTTCTTTCACTCATATCAAATTGTGACAAGATGGTGTTGTTGACAGGAAACGCGTAACAGGTAGACAACAACAAAAAAGATCAGGAATGTGTAACACAATGCACCAACCAAGTAAAACAAATGTAATTGTTATTGAAACAAAGAATGATTTGGTTAGGATTGACTATTTATAGAATAAATAAATTTGACTGAATATTTTTGAAGCAAAAAGAAAATCACAGAAAAATATCAAGATAAAAGTTCTAATTAATTGAGTGTAATAAACATCACAGTTAATGTTGCTTGCAAAAGAAACTTTAAAACTTTGTGGGTTTCTTTTTCTTCACAGAAGCACGTAAAATAAAATGAGTGACAATCAAATGGTGATAGTAGTATGTATATTCAAAACAGGATGGAAGATATGATAAGACTCCATGGTACAGTTAAAAAGAAATAACATTGTGCACTATATAATGATAGATGTAAGCTTTGATTGAGCCTTTTTGTGATATCAGTTGCTTACATAAAATTGTTTAAGACGGACAAGCTTCTTTGTTAGCCATGGAGTTGTGATTTATACGTGTACTGACATAATAACCTGACTGAACAGTTTTGATTGGTTTATTTGTGGCTTAGTTTTCTGAGGTTTTGTAATTGTAATATACCATATATTTTGTTTAATAAGGGTTGTTGCGGTTGTTCATATTATACTGTTTACTTATTGTGTATGGTGATAATTTTGTGCTGTTCATCTGAACTCACGTACCACCTGGAATAAACCCTTCGAGTACCAGGATGTATTTTTTTTTTGCTTTGAAGTTTCCGTAGTGATTGGATTGATTTTCCGAAGTAGAGTCAGTAGCCCTACACCCATGCTTCTGTCTTTTCCTGGGTTTAAGACTGGCTAGTAAACCAGGCGAGGTTATGGTCAATGTCACACAAAATCGAAGATCTACAGGGGAAGACCAAAAAGTTAGCATAATAAGTAGTAAAGACAGAACTTCAGGTGAACATAGAGAAGACTGAGGTGATGTAGATACCTAACCAATAACAACAAGCACTAATCACCGTCACAAGGGGGGAAATTTGAAAGAATTCATCTCTTTTACTTATCTAGGAAGAATCGTTTCAACTACAGACAGCATGGATGAGGATGTCGAAGACAGTTATATTCGGAATAGCAAAACAGATGTTCGTTAATCTGAAATGAGTGTGGAAATATACTGCACTTAGCGTAAATAAGAAGATTTAGATTTTCGATAGTAATTTGGAGTCATTGCTTGTATATAGTTCACGAAAGTCATTTTGAACAGGCTTCGAACTTTTAACAACAGCTGCCTTCGCTTCATGCTAAAGACCAGCCGAAAAGGATAAGCTGACATCAAGGAGCTCTGGTAACGAACCAAACTGGGAACTTATTACTAAAAAAATATACCGAAGTAAATGGAGACTGATCAGACAAACGTTGAGGGAATTGTTGAATGACATCGCGTGACATTCGCTCAAGTGAAACCCGAATGGAAAACGAATAGTTGGGCGTGTGGCCAAAAGTGACATAGAGGAGATGAAAGCTTATGCGCAGTCGTACAGCCAGGTAAAGAGAAATGAAGAGAATCGGATTACACGGAGATGTAACTCCATTTTCACTGCAGGGTATTTTGCAAATTATATTATTTTGTCTAATTGGGTCAACAGGGTCTCTTAACCTACAGAGCTTGTCCCTGAGTGAGTTTGTAGGTTTGAATGCCACCGTGATTCCCGCTTTATTAGGAATCCTCCGTAGGGTCTCAGATGTCCCCTCTTTATATGGTATAACTGTGGATGACTTATATTCTCTCTTATTTATGTTATTATTACTAGTTTCACAATTATTTTTCTTTTTCTTTTGGCCTTTTTCAATCTTCCTAATGAATTTTAAAGGATAGTTATTTAACACCAACGCCTCTTCTATCTGTTTTATTTCATCATTTAGGTCTTTTTAGTGCTACTTAGTGCCACTGTTCGGTTTGTTAAACACTTAACTAAGCCTGCCTTAACAGTTAACTGATGAGATGAATCAAAGTCTAAATATCTATTAGAATGCGTTGGCTTTCTATAAACACTAGTGTGTAGTTTGCCTTCTTCTATTCGTTTAATTTTACAATCTAACATAGCTAATTCTCCTTGTTCATTTTCCGATTCAAACGTGAATTTTATTCCCTCTACTAGTGAGTTTATGTGTGTATCAAGAAGCTAGAGATGTGTTCTGTTTTTAACACTGTGAAAGTTTCTTCCACAAATCTCCACCGTATTTTTGGAGTAGGATTAAATGTATTAAGAGCACTATTTTCCCAGCTGTCCATAAATATGTCTGCTACAATAGGGGATATTGGTGATCCCATTGCTACACCTTCTCTTTGTCTATATATTTTGCCTTGGAATTTAAAGATAGTAGATAGTAGTTATGCTCTACCACAGTGCCCCAGTTTTATACTTATATCAATAAACGGAGATGTGCTGTTGAAACCGCATATCCCACTCGCAACAGAAGGGAATAGTAATAATAAGCAATTGACGAACAGTCGCACAGTACTACCTCCCGTTAATAATGTAATACTCAGAATCCCACCCGTTGAAATCACTAACATGTAATCATCATAACTGGAGTCACATACGACATTTGTTGGTAACTATTTCGCATAGCACGCTTTCGTTTTTACCGCTAAAAACGTCTATTCTTTGTTGTGGTTGTTGTTATTATTATTGTTGGCTTTTTTTGTGTCCGCATTCACAGACTCGTGTGTAATTTCACTGTAAACGATATTCTATTTTTGTTTGTTTAATAGCTGTGTTTTTAATTGCGCGAGCGCTCTCTCTCTCTCTCTTTCGTTCACACACATACACATACGCACTGTCTCCCTCTCTTTCTTTCTGTGTCTCTCACACACACCTGATTTCGTAATCATCT